GTTGCGGTTGTTGGGGGCGGGATAAAAGGGGTGTGTGTGTGTGGGAGGGGTTTGCTGGCCCCAGGGCCGGCGAGGCGGGTCTTGCCCAGCGGCCGTGCTTCTTTAGGTAACTTTTTAAAAACAAATAGGATTTCTTCTCTTTCTTCTGACATTTTTTGAAGTCGTTTTAAGCTTCTAAGCGCGGCTCGCTCTGCGCTGGTGGTTTCTCAGCCCAAATCCCCGCGCGGGGCCTTCGCCGTCTCTGCCCCCGTCCCTCAGAGCTTCACGGCTTGGGCATCTCTCTCCTTCCACTGCTGCTGAGAACCTCTTTCGCCCCCTTATTATAGTCAGGAGTCGTAATTACGCTCATCAGGTCGGTATTGGGGTCTGCGCTTCTCACACTCCAACGTGTGTGTTTTCTCTTGGCCGAGGGTGCAGCCCCCAGATTATCCATCATTCCACTGAAATCCCTCAAGCCTCAGTCCCGGTTGCTCTTTTTTTTTCTAGAGGCATTGCTTCTCTTCTAGCAATTTCATGTAAAAACTTGGAGATGATCCTCTCGAAGTATGTCTTCAGTGGGAATGTAGGGCTAAATCATTGTTGTGAATGTAGGGCTAAGTCAGTATTGAATACACTTGAGGTTGTGGCCTAGGCAGAGGTTAACTAGAATTGTTATTTTTGCAGGAATAAGCACTAAAAAATGCACAGTCTGCTGTGCTCATGTCAAGTGGCCATAACATACTATTTACTTCCCACTCCCAATGCTTATTGATTATGGCATTTTGAACATTTGACTACTAACCTTAATCCACGAGCAATGCAGTTTTCATTCCTTTTTCTGTGCACTATCCTAAGGATGTGATATGTGTATTTTTTTTTAGCTTTTAGAATTGCACATATGCTCACAGTTAACAAAGTGATGATCAGTGATGTCTGACAGTCTAGTCCTGGGGTTTAAAAAGAGCCAGATACCAATTCCAGGTGAATGTTACTGACATTTCAGCACAAATGCTTTGGAGAATTGTCACCTCATGAGTACAGAAAATATAAATAGGGCTCTAACATGGAAAATAAGCAGAGAAACAGAACTTTTTAGTGAGAAAATGTGCCCTGTGAGTGACCTTTTAATTATTGTTCTTTTTAAATCTGTGGACAGATATCGCCAAATTTTGGAAAAAGCCATTCAGCTGTCGGGTGTAGAACAACTTGAAGCTTTGAAAGCTTTTGTAGAAGCAAGTAAGTCCAACTGGGAGAATTGGTTGCACGCTGAGCAAGGGCCAGAGGTCTGTGGGATTGCATATTTGTTAGCTTGATGTGAGGCTACGTCAATGCATGATGGTTTGATCCTGTTGGAGGTTGGACAGCTAGAAGTGTTGTGTCCTTGCCACATTCAGAAGTTGGGGAGAATGGACTTGTAAGCTTTGTAAGTTATTTTAGCTTTCTGACCTGTGAGTGTGGAGTGTTGGAAGGTGAACACATCAAATAGTCTCTGTTGAATGCTAAAATTGCTATTGGATGCCAAAGTGTATTCAAACTAGAAATCCCCTTCTTCCCCTGGCTCAAGGTAGCTGGAAGAACTGTCAAGAAGAAGTAGTTAGGAGTTTTGTTGTGTTGTGTTGGATTTTTGACTTGTTGAATGCCTCAGTTTCAGCAACTGAGAACAGTGATTCAGAATGAAACATCTCTCTAAACTAAAAATCATAGTAAGAAATTCTTTGCCATTTGTCAGGGGTTAGAACTCTGGTGGCCTCTAGTGTAAACAACCTGTTTCTGAGAGAGAAAAGGTCACCTCTTAAAAACAAACAAACAAACAAAACAACCCTTCTCATGGATACAAATTTAAAATTTTAACACATTAAAATTGAGTCTAAAATCAAGTGATCACTTCCAGTGAAGGTACTGACAGGTGTTGTGTCCACCCTGTGTTTTTCTTCCATGTGTCTCTGAACCAGTGGTGAATGAGAATGTCAGTCTAGTGATCTCACGTCAGCTACTGACAGATTTCTGTACCCACCTTCCCAGTCTTCCTGACAGCACAGCCAAAGAAATTTACCACTTCACCTTGGAAAAGATACAGCCTAGAGTTATCTCCTTTGAAGAGCAGGTGAGAGATCAATAACAAGGGGGTTTTGGGTTGTGGGCTTGGCTTTGGGGTTTCTTTCCCTTATCTGCTGAGTACTTTAAGTCTTTAAAAAAAGCTGTTGAAAACAGATATTCCTACTTAAGTGTCCACTTTTGTATTCCTGTGCATGCAAAACCTGAGCTAAATGCAGAGAGGGTCTATGGCTGTGTGAAGAATACAGACTTTGTCCCTTCATTAGGATGCTGGGCAGGTCATTCCTCTGCTGTCAAAAAATGGCTTCTTACAATGAAACAATACTTGAGCTACTGGAGATTCTGTCCAGAAACAGACTGGTACTCAGTGTATTGCATTTTACCCAACTAATGGAACGGGCAGGTGATGCAAAGGTCTTTGTGTGTAGTTTAGTCAAAATCATTTTGCCAGGAAGTCCCATTTCTAGTTAAGTACTGAATGTGCCACAGTCCTTTTTCAGTTCAGTTCTTGGTTTTGTTGTGTATTTGCCATCATCTTGAGAAGATGATTATATTAAGGTGTTTATATTAAAACAGAAGATGTTTATCTTAAAAGCCTTTAGGATCTAGTATTTGAGAATAAAAGCTAGGCAGTTTCTGTCATGATTTGTATTTGCTTCTCTTGATCTTTCGTTTTATTCTGTCTTAACTGAACATGCTCCTCTTTATGTTATGATTATGCTGAAGTTAAATCAAGACACGAGGTGATGATGTTGGTGTTTTTTTTAACCACACTTCTGCTTGTAAAACCCAGATTATAAGCACTGATATTTTAGCTGCTGACAGCTGCTCTACAATGGAGAATTTTCTACATTAGGATCTGATCCTAGTTCATTCATACCTCACAGGCATGACATGAGGCATAACTGCAAGAAGTAGCTTGTGAATCTTGGTGCTCCAGTTCTTAAAAGCCTCATTTCATCTTTTTAGAAGCTTTATAAAATATTTCTGCTTACTACTCCCTGAAGATAGCCCTTTTTTTATCTTGTCACAAGCTTCAGTGGAAATGCTTCAAATCAGCACTGATCATTAACAAATTTGAGCCAGGAGACACCCACACAGGAGTCCTCATGTGGGAAGAGTTGCATGCGTGCAGGTTGCTGCTGGATTATCTGTTGAAGGAATTAATGAACAAGAACAAATGCTGTGAGAGTAAATACAGAACCCTTCAGTTTTTATAGCATTTGCTATTGATTTCATTGCTGTGTAGGTCGCTTCCATCAGGCAACATCTTGCATCAATCTATGAGAAGGAAGAAGACTGGAGAAATGCAGCACAAGTATTGGTGGGGATCCCTTTGGAAACAGGGCAGAAGTAAGTAGTGTGCTAGATAGACACAGTGCTGCACTGTTAAATGTATTTGTTCCCCTTGTATTTGACTAGACCAGCAAGTGAGAATTTTGAGGTTGCATATTTTCCCAGAGTTTCAGTAGTTCAGGTCAGAACTACTGCCAGATGGCAAAATAATAGCTTGATGACTGTACATGTAGATAAACAGTTTGATGGGTCAAAATATTAGCCTAGAAGTTTTGAACTATTTATTAATCTTGTTGATAAACAGCCTTTTTTGATAGTGTTTGACAGATTTTTAGAGTGCACGTTTGTGTCTCAGTGGAGGGTATTATTTCTACTGGTGTTTGTAGGAGCCAGTTCTGTATTGGCATTCTTCTCAAATTTCCTTACCCTGAATGGAGATTACTAATTTTGGTATTAGGGAAGAAGAAAGCAGGGTAAAGCAAATGCTGCCATGTGCTTGAGAATGATCATATATGTTTAGAACAGCTAAGAGCAAGGGTAATTGTGGAGCAACTCTGAGCACTTGCTTTTCTGTTTCTCTGCAGACAATACAATGTGGATTATAAACTGGAGACCTACCTGAAAATTGCCAGGTTGTATCTGGAGGATGATGATCCAGTTCAAGCAGAAGCTTATATTAATAGAGCTTCCTTGCTTCAGAATGAATCAACAAATGAGCAGCTGCAAATCCATTATAAGGTTGTCTAACTTGCTTTATTGCTTTCTCTTTCTAAAGGGAGATGATTCCACGTGGAGATGTTTTTATGCAATGCCACTTAAACTTTCAGGATGGGAAAGGAGACAAAGGCAAAAGCTGCTAACTGTTTTGGGGACCTTGATAGTCACATCTTAGCAATAATTAAACTGCTCCTTCCTTTTAAGTCTGTAAAGGGTCCTTAAATGCCATCTTTACTGTTTGAAGATAAAGCTTTAACTTGAAAACATCTGAAATACTGTTGGAAATACTCCTTCCACCTTTGCCTGTAAATCTAAGAGGGGGAAAAAATCACATCCAATATTAGGGCCAACAGAAGGCCCCTGCCCAACAGTAATTAAATAGTACATCCCATCCATAAAAGTAAGTCTCAGGTAGGAAAGTAACTTCTGACCTTTTGCTTATTTGGGTGTTTACTGTGTACCTACTTCATACACTAATTTCTCAAACCATTTTAGTTTGAGCAGTGATACAGTGTGACAGTACCAATCAAGTGTGGTAGTGTTTAAAATCCTAGAGCACAAAGCAGATGTGCCATGAACTGTAATTCAGGGTATGGTGGTTTTGGTTTGTTGGGTTTCCCTCTTCGTTTTTTCTCCCCCCTGCTATGTTTGGAAGTGGAAATATTTTCTGTAAGCATTAGGAAAGCACAAAGCAAGGGAGTGAAGAGAGATCAGAACCTGTGCTGAAGGGGAAAAGTTGTCAGTGTCAGTAGTGAAGGGGGAGCTTACGTAAGGACATTATCAGCTGTACAACTTGTCATTTACTTAGTTTCTGGCATTCAGACGTTTGCAGTGCTCAACATGTGAATAGTGCTGGGAAATGCTTCCCATGGGACTTCAGCAAGGGCTTTACAAGTCAAGATAATAATTCCAAGACACCAATTTTCCTAGGATGCAGTAGAGCAAGATTTATGTGAGCAGTCTCTTCATAGTGTGCTAGTTTATACCCATCTACATTATGCAGCCACTCCTGTTTTCTTCTTCTGAGACCTACTTTCTTTCCAGGTTTGCTATGCTCGAGTTCTTGATTACAGAAGGAAATTCATTGAGGCTGCCCAGAGGTACAACGAGCTCTCCTATAAGAGCATAGTCCACGAAACTGAGCGACTGGAGGCACTGAAACATGCTTTGCATTGTACTATTTTAGCATCAGCAGGTAAAACATGCCTGATGTTTTTGTATAAAAATCCCCAGATTGGTATTTCACATTCCCTGAAGCAAGTCAGCTCGTGCCTTACTTGTGGGGAGGTATCTTGTCACTAAGATGTGGGGATGAATCCAGAACTGGGAACACGGGGATAAAAGATGATACTTTCTGGGTTTTACCTCTGAATACTTAATGCCTTGGTGATGATTTATGAGGGTTCTTCCTGGCTTTCCCAGGACAGCAGCGTTCTCGCATGCTTGCTACACTCTTCAAGGATGAGAGATGCCAACAGCTTGCAGCCTATGGGATCCTGGAGAAAATGTATCTGGACAGAATTATCCGTGGAAATCAACTGCAAGAGTTTGCAGCGATGCTGATGCCTCACCAGAAAGCAACCACAGCTGATGGTACCTATTTCTCTAAATCATCCTCACACTAAGTGTTCATCCACAGGAGTTAGATTTGCCCGATGCAGTCAAGAAATGTGATGGAAAAGAATTGATTATAGCTTCTGTGGTCCTCTTAAAATTATTTCCCAGCGTGTTACCCTTATGAGTGTAGTTTACTAGGAAAGCTTCTTAGCCATAGTTCCTCCTTCTGACTGGATATTCATGTTTTAAAATACTCTTACAGAAGATAACAAAATTTTCTCTGTCCATGCACAGTGACAACCTCCCAGTCTCTGTCCTTTTGAGCTTCTCAGGTTCTAAGGCAGTGTTATAAATAGGATCCCTAGAAACATGTGACGTGCATCTAGTGGTCTGATACACTTACTTGAAGTGCTTCCTGACTTGCCAGGAAGATGACAGGGAGGGGATGACTTGGACCTCATACTGTCTCCAAAATGTTTTCTCATCCATCTCACCGCTATCTTAGTAACTGTGTTCTTCCTGGGATCTCCAACAGTGGGAAATAATGTGAAATAATGACTTCACTAGAATCCTAAACACACTTGTCTCAATTTTCTAAAGTAGAATATTGAAGTGGAAAAAATACAGAAGCATGAAATACCACTTAATCAGAAAAACCTTCTTAGTGAACAATATTCTTTGATTAAGGACAAATAAACAACTGTAATAGCAGAGGTTAAAGGTACTTAGTAAAAAAGAACTGCAGTCCTTTGCTTGGGTCTATATGTTGTTTATTCATAACCTGTACTGTTTTTATAAGTTAAGTGATGCAGGTTAATTGTTTTTTAATAATGTTCTTCAACTAGAGGTTAAGAGATGAATTAGTTAAACTGTTAGAATAAGAAGATTAGAATTAGAAATCAGATGAGAGTTTATCACCATACAAGCACAGAAAGAGAGAGGTTAGTTGTATCCCCACAGAGCTGTAATGAATTTAAAAAATAAGCAATGGTCTTTCCATGTGGCAAGCTAGGAACTGGTCACAGGAGCTGAAACTGTCCATCCACATGTTGAGTGTTGTAGCAAAATCAAGGGCTCCACTTGATAATTCCAGAAAATAAATAGAAGTGTTTGACCTGCCTGTCTTACCATGAGCCACGTGCCATCCAGTTCTTTTTGTTCGCTCTCCTCTGTGTAGCATCTCAACCTTGCTGTGCAACATAAACCAAGTATTTCAGGCATCCAGTAATGCTTTTTTTTCCCCTCTCATCTAACCCCTAAGGTTCCAGCATCCTGGACAGAGCTGTTATTGAACACAACTTACTATCTGCAAGCAAACTTTACAACAACATTACTTTTGAAGAGCTTGGAGCATTACTAGAGATTCCTGCAGCTAAGGTATCAGTTTTCTTTATCTTCTGTAAAAACAGGGAGTGTCAGAGACATGAGAAAACAGCTGTGGGGAATATTAGGAAAATGTGTTCAATATTAGGAAGTAATTGTGAATATTCTATATTATAAGGAAGGTTAAGTATCTCACACATCTTATGAAAAGAGAAGGTACATGATGTGAAATAAACAATAGGGGACTTGGATGCCACTGCTAATACGTCTAATCATTTCATAATTAGCGTTGCCTGTAGGTTCCCACTCCCCAGCGTGTGGAGATATTGAAAAAGCCCATAAGGACTAAGAAGTCTTAAAACATCTTTCAGAAGCCAACATCTTTCTCTCTTCATGATTTCAGGCAGAAAAGATAGCTTCTCAGATGATAACTGAGGGTCGCATGAATGGATTCATCGATCAGATTGATGGAATTGTTCACTTTGAGAGTAAGTTCGACCATACTAATTGATTTTCTTATTTTTTTTTTTAGTACCAGTCAGACAGCTTTTTGAGTTGTTGCCTTCCAGGGTGAGGAAATGAAGTTTCTTACCATTTTAGCATCATCTGAAGTGAACTTGCTGTATTTTGCCGTGGCCAGGAGGTGGCAGAGCTTGCCTTCATGGAGGATCACAGTTCATCCACCCTCTCTGCTCTGCACTCTGTTAACCCGCAGACAACTGTGGTTTTATTCCATCGGCCTCCTAATAGGAAGAGGTTCACCAGGAAGTTCTCTGTTCAAAACTACCTTGCAACGCAGGAGTTAGGCTTGTAACAGACAGCCAAAATCGTTGTAGCTTTTGAATGCAGAAGCTAGCATGATGTAGCTGCAAGGAAGGCTTCCTCTGTAAGGTAGAGAGGGCAGTGGCAGAAGAAAAGGTAAGGGAATTGCTAAGACTTACTTGGTTTTGTGTGGGTTGGGGTTTCTTTTTAATTGTTGTTGTTTGTTTTTCAGCTCGTGAAGCTTTGCCAACCTGGGACAAGCAGATTCAGTCACTGTGTTTCCAGGTTAACAACCTGCTGGAGAAGATAAGTCAGACAGCCCCAGAATGGACAGCTCAGGCAATGGAGGCTCAGATGGCTCAGTGACTGTGCAGCCATTGTCTGAATGGAGGCAATAAACTGCCTGCTGTGCTGGAAGAAGAGAACTGAGTAGGACTGAGAACCAAATGAGGAACTCACCTTTATTTCCCCACCTTCTGCTTTCACTCTGTTTTAGAACACAATTAGGTGATACCATCTTTGGTTTGACAGCCCCACAGTTTCCTGAGCACAGAGTGATGCTGTTGCTGTTTCTACATTGTTCTCTTTTGTACCCTGCTGTCCTGAAAGCTGTGGTTTCCAAGTAGAAGAAGCTGTAATGTCTGAAGGAAGCTTTGGTTTTGGTTTATTTAATTTAATTTTTTTCCACTGTATTGCTATAGCTTTGTAGCCCATTATTTCCTATGATGCTTGTCCTGCTGTAAAAATGTAAGTGCCATTTTCTTTTAGTTGTAATAAAGGCTGGAATGAGCCAGTTGGTTGAAGTGTTGCTGAGATCTCTCTTTTTTCATAAGCAGTAACTTGAAATAAGCTGTATTTTTTTGAATTGTTAGTTTTAGCCCCTGAAAATGTTAAATGAAAACCAGGCTTTTTCCCTCCTTTGTTTATAAAATACAACTCTGAAATCTTAAGTGAAGGAAACACTGACCTTTCTTTTGCATTGATGCAGCAGGGCACAGAGTTGTCTGTGCTGAGAGAAGGGGTGAAAAAGAATGTTCCCAAGAGAGGTTGTTGGACTAATACTGTAAACGATGAGAACATAGCACATGCCAAGTAAGGTAGGCCAAGCATGCTCTTTGCTTTATTTTCTAGGTCAGCCTGAATTGGTAATTTTACAAATGTATCAATAGTTTTTTGGAACTGAAGGTGTAACGAGAGGCTCTGACAGGTAGGGATTCTGCACTACAAAAGATGAAACACTTTCTGAAATGAGAGTGGCTGGAGAACATTGTGCAGATGACTTCTGTAATGAGACTCAGGGAGGAGGTAAAGGTGTTGTGATAAGCAAGACCAGCTTGAAATGCTTATGCATAGCAACCAAGTCACAAAGTGGCCCTTCTGATATGGGTCAGTCTGGAGTTGTGCTTTCTTTTACCATCCTTATGATCTGCCAGATAAAAAAGCTTTAATGTGTAATTTGCTGGAGAGGTTTTCACAGTAGTTGTTCCTGTCGAGAGGTTACATTTTAGCTCCTTTTTCATTTCAGACGACTAATAATACTGGTAATGAGTTTTCAGTCTATGATGATCCTAGCCTTTTGCCTCAAAAACTGGAGGATGTTGATGTCTTCTGGAGTCAAAGGTTTTGGCTTAATCTGTAAGTAATGCCTTGATTTTTGTTTTGCTTTTTTTTTTTTTTTTTAAGGTGTTTATGCATTTAGATTTGTGGTGCTGTTAGATTTTTAGAAAAGCCTGGAGCCTCCTGAAGGGGGGTTCATCCATAAATAGGATGGGCTTCTATCAGTCTGGTGGGTCTTATTTCTGAGTCCCAAAACAACTGGCCGAGTAAGTTCTCATGGCTCCCAGTTGGTAGTGTGCTTTAATGTCTTTGGGAGAGGGGAAGTGGTGACAGAGCAGCTGTGAGTGCAGGAAGGAGCTGCTCACCCCTTGTCAAGTTTACTGTAAAAGAGAAGATCTTCCAGATCCTTGTTACAGATGGAGGTTGGGTGGCTGTTGTCCTTCAGTGTGAGCTGACTTAGTCCAGTGTAAGAGTCTCTGTCTAACAGGGTTGATGTCTGGCACTCTGGCCACTCACCTCCAATACCCACAAGTGTCATCTGTCTTGCTAAACAGCCTCCTGCATTAACCACTGACCCAGCAGAGGTAGATAATGTGTTGGCTGCAGGAGAGATGCTGGTATTTCAGCAGATGGCAGTAAAACCCATGCTGACCACCAGCAAGTCCTGAGAGCACTGTACATGTCTTTGTTGTACTCCTTTTTCCATGTGAGTGGTATCAGAACTCAGAGCTGGCTTGGGTTAGTCATTGGATAGTTTCTTTTCTTTCTAGATGACCCTTTTTTCCTCTCGATACTCCCAGTTACTTTAAAGGCTACTATAGTATCAAAACATTGAGATAACAGTGCAAGGCAGCTAGAGACACGGTATCTAATTATCAATTATTTGACTAGTGTTCTAATGTAGTATCAGCAGAAAAAAAATTAACATACAAAAAGTTGTGATTGAGCTTTTAATAAGTTCATTGTAGTGCAGAGATTGAGTCATAATTAAAACAAACTTAAGTGACATGGTAAATTCACTTCCTTAACTAGCTTTGCCATTACAGCTTGAGATTTGTAGTGTCACCCTGATAAACAGCTGCTCTACAGAGGATCAGACATCCTGCCTCATTTCTTTGGAGGAGGTTCATTGTTTGCCTGGCTTACCCCTAGGTTTTGACTTCATTTGAATTCTCTTATGCTCTGGAATACTTCAGTGACCCATGAAACTGATGTTCCTTTGGGATTTGAGGATAAGTTGGACTTACAACCTCTTACATGTTGTGTCCGGCAGGGAAATGAATTCATGGTTTTGCAGTAGCAACAGTTCAGCCTTATTGGAACAAAATAGTGCCTAAAGTTCACTCATCTCAGTGTTGCAATCTAGGAGGAAAAAGACAATTTCAGAACCATCAAAATATGAAAGCAACAGTTGTAGAGGAAGCCACTGTTTCCCAAACAAAAGCAAACTAGGATTTTCCTAGTACTGGAACTGACACAGGAAAGAGAGAGCAGCCTGAAAAGTTTGTATTTGCTATTTTAAGTATCTTCTTTAACTTCCTTTTTTTTTTTTTTAGAAAAGCAAAACATGTAGCGATAGTGGCATTCACAGAATTTAAATAGACATAGCTACTCTTTTTTTGCATTGCTGCTGTTGATGTGTAAAAAACATGACAAATATTTGAGTCTTCGGAGGCTTTTATGCTTTGTTGTCTCCAGTCTTTGGGAGACTGTTCACTCAATTGCATATCTACCCACATAGCTTGGATCCAAGCAACTTCATAGAATCACAGAATGGCTTTGGTTGGAAGGGACCTTAAAAATCACCTAGTTCAAATCCCCCTGCATGGGCAGGGACACCTCCCACCAGACCAGGTTGCTCCAAGCCCCATCCAACCTGTCCTTCAACACTGCCAGGGATGGGGCAGCCACAGCTTCTCTGGGCAACCTGGGCCAGGCTCTCACCACCCTCACACTCAAGAATTTCCTCTGCATGTCTCACCTCAATCTCCCCTCTTCCAGTTTTCATCCATTCCCCCTTGTCCTCTCACTACAAGCCCTTGTCAAAATTCCTTCCCCAGCTTTCCTGGAGCCCCTTCAGGCACTGGAAGGTGCTCTAAGGTCTCCCTGGAGCCTTCTCTTCTCCGGGCTGAACAGCCCAGCTCTCTCAGCCTGTCTCCAGAGCAGAGCTGCTCCAGCCCTCGGATCATTTTTGTGGCCTCCTCTGGACTCTTTCCAGGAGCTCCATGTCCTGCTTTTATCTGGGGCTCCAGACCTGGACAAATTACTGCAGGTGGGGTCTCAGAAGAGGGGACAATCCCCTCCCTGGCCCTGCTGCCCACGCTGCTCTTGCTGCAGCCCAGGACAGGGTTGGTTTCTGGGCTCCAGCGCACGGTGCCGGCTCGTGTTGAGCTTCTCGTCCACCATCACCCCCAGGTCCTTCTCCTCAAGGCTGCTGTCAATCCATTCTCCACCCAGGCTGTATTTTTGCTTGGAATTGTCCCAACCCAGGTGCAAAACCTTGCACTTGGTCTTGTTGAACTTCTGAGGTTGGCATGGGCCCACCTCTCCAGCCTGTCGCAGTCCCTCTGCATGGCCTCCCTTCCCTCCTGTGTGTCAACCACACCACACAGCTTGGTGTACTTTTCTTTAACTGCTCACAGACACCAAACTGAGTTGGATGACAAAGAAAACATCCCTCAAGAAAGGAATTTACTGGGTGTCAGGATGTTGGGCTCAGGGTAACAAGAACACTGCTCTTTCAGATCATTTTATAGCAGCAAGTACTTGCTATCAAATGAAATTATTTAATACAGGAGAGAACATAGAGAGCATGCACACTACTATACTTGCTATAGTAACTACACTTCATCTAGGTTCATAGAAAGGTATCTTGTTTCAAGGCAGCTTGCCACTAATGCTCAGTAAGAAACTGTCAAGTGAGTTTAGAACTAATATCGATGCTATTCTTCACTATGCAAGTGTTTTGGCTGTTTTAGTCCACCCATATCAGAAAAGGAAGAGCAGAGTGCTGATACAAATGATGTTCCTTTTTAAGGCTGGATGAGGATATTTTGACCATGTATTTTCAAATGAAATTTCTTGTTAAGTTGTTTGAAGTGGTACTAGCTGAGATTTTTCTCTCCCTTCAAGGGAAATGTGGACATAGTCACTGTTAGTCTGGAGCCTGTTGGGTTTTTTTCTTGCTTGTCTTTTCCCCAAGGGTTCCTTTTCCCTTGGGAGCATGCCCCTTCCAGATGGAGGGGTGCTGTTTGTACCATTCATATGTGTGCCCATTTGGGGCATTTGCTGCTTCACTCTGCTACTGAAGGGAAGTTCTAACAGGCTGTGTTCACAGAAGTATCCCTTCTCCCTGTGGGCCAGGGGTGGCTTTTGGAAAGCAATAAACAGGTCTACTGAACATTTCTGAGAGGAGAAACCCAAGGGGCCAACTCTAGCCTCAAAACCAAGAGGACCTTTGGTGATCAGCTAACAGAAGAGGTGAGCATGGTGCTAACCTCTCTGAGCCCACCTCCCGTTGCTTGCTCGAGTATCCTGCTCTAACGCAGGAGCCAAAACGAGCAGCTGCCCACTAGAGGGAGAGGGAAGCACACAGAACCAGTGTAGAACCACAGAATGGTTAAGGTTGGAAGGGACCTTAAAGACCATCAGGTTCCAACCTCCCTGCCATGAGCAGGGTTTCCCCCCAGACCAGGCTGCACAAGGCTCATCCAGCCTGGCCTTGAACACCTCCAGGGAGGGGGCAGCCACAGCTTCCCTGGGCAACCTGTTCCAGTGCCTCACTGCCCTCATGGTGAAGAATTTCTTCCTGATGTCTAACCTAAATCTCCTTTCTTTCAGTTTAAAACTATTACCCCTTGTCCAGTCACTGCCCTCTCTGGTGTAAAGTCTCTCCCCATCTTTCCTGCAGGTTCATGCAGAGGCCTCAGCTCTTTTGGAAGACTACCAGCACATTTCCAGTTTTGTTTTATTATTGTGTTCATCTGTAGCGAGCACAAAAGAGCAAATTTATCAGCCTCTGGGCTTTTTAGATTTCTGAGCATGTATCTGTCATCAAAGCATGTTACAAAGCTTGCTTCCCACATGCTTGGCTTAGGTTGGACTTCTGTACTTCAATTAATGGGTCACTTGGTACCAGAACGTTTTCCTTCAACCAGAGGAAAAAAAAAAAACAACAAGAATAGGGCTTAACTCAGAATGAGGGAGTAAACATTAACACTGGTCTTTGCAGACTGA